GGGAGTAGAGTGTTGAATATTTCTGCGAGGACAGCGGTGTGTGGTTGATACAATGGATGCCAACGGTACCGGACGTTTCGAAAACTAAGTTGGTTGATAGTTTGGATGCAATGAAAAAAAAGTGTCGAATAATCCTGCAGAAAAAGGTAGCAACCCTCCTGTGTTTACCGATAGAGCTACATCGCACCGTGTACCGGCACGCAAAAAAAAAACAAGTGTCTTAAAAAAATTGACCAAAGACAAAAAATCCGCACACCACACAAAATTTTGACAAACATATTAGCTCGCCCTCACCTCCTGTGCTGACGCGAGCATCCTTCGCGCCGGTCTTCTCCAGAGTGGTCTCCACCGGCATCTCGTGCTGGACTGGCGTCTGGTCCATGTTGCCGAGATCCTCGAAAACCTCCGCCTCCACAGACGCTAGCTGCTCGGAAGTCAGATCCTCCCCTTTGATGGGGCTCTCGTCAGGTGCCGGCGGGTGGCGCCGAGCGTAGATCTCACCGGCGCGCTTTACGAGAGCCTCGCGCAGCTTCATCACCATCGCCCACGCAATACCCTCGTACCACTTCGGCAGTTTCTGCCTGACGCTGGTACGCCGGCGGATGCTGAACTCATTCCGCTTGCGGAACCGTTGGTATCAGGAGTTGAATTTGACCTTGAAAGCCAGCGCCTCCTCCGGTTTCGCGTTCGCCGGCATCCCGCCAAGGGTGTCAGGCTTCAGCTCGAGCAGCTTGTTCATCACCTCCCGATTACCACAACCGCGGTGCTGCTTGCGCTTCTCGTTGATGTAGTCAACAAGGGCTTGTTCGGCGTCGACTGTCGAAGCTTTCGCTCCGCTGTGAACCTGCTTGGCCTTCGAAAGCTTGGGGTTGGCGCTGACCTTCTCCCAGAGCTGCTCCTCCTGCTTCAGCCACTCGATGATACGCTTCCGAGGCACCTGGAGAACTTTCGCCGCGCCGTTGTTGCCCACCGGTTGACCGTCACACGGGCAGATCTCCCGTGTGTAGGCCGCCGCGTTCAGTTTGAACCGGATGCGGTAGCTCCCTTTCCCTCCCACTGCTCCTGACCGCTCGATCGGGAAGCTGGGCTCCGGGTACGCGCGTTTGCCGTTGCTGTTTATGACGGGGTCGTTGGCGGCTAGCATCTCATCGATAGCCTCGCCGTTTGCCATCGGGTCCGCAGCGGCAGCTCCCTGAGATGCAGAGGAAGGACCGCCAACAATAGCCTGTGAGGCCTGTGAGACCTGTGAGGCGTCGGCAGGTCCCGCGCTTGCACCCTCCGACATCGTAGCCGTGCGTTGCGTGTGGCCGAGCCCGCAGCTCCGTCCCGGGCATTTTCCCGATTTTCCGCCGGTATTTCTCCGCCACGGACTGTTGTGGTGGCAATTCCCCGAGACTCATTTGTGTGTGCAGCTACTATAACAGCTTGTCTGTTGGTTGTGTTGTGATCGTGTTGCAGCAATACCATACACGCGATGTGCTGCTATCCCCTGTGGTTTTCAATGTTAACGTCGCACATATCGGGGTCTTGGCATAGGGGTGTGCGTTCGGAAGTCGCCGTACCAGCCGCTTTGGATTTAAACAGCACCGCACATATCGGGGTCTTGGCATAGGGGTGTGCGTTCGGAAGTCGCCGTACCAGCCGCTTTGGATTTAAACAGCACCGCACATATCGGGGTCTTGGCGCAGGGGTGTGCGTTGTTTCTTAGAACGAAAATATTTACTGCATTTCCGCACAGTTTTCTCGAACTTGGCACACATCGGGGTCTTCGCACACCTGTGCGAAAGAAGTCTGAAGTTCGAAACACTTAAAAAAGCGACCGCACAGTGTGCCAAGACCCCGATGATTACGGTAGTTGCCAATCTACCACGAACTCCTATCTATGGAAGAGAAGGATTTGCTGTAATCTTTAAAAGAAAAAAAAAACGCACCTTGAACTGCGTCCGCGCCGTGAGCTCTTGTCCGACGTAGCAGCCCTTGGTGAAGGAGATCGACCCCAGTAGGTCCAAATTGGACTCGAGGGGAATGGAGTCAAGCAGCTCGCTCCTACGGCGAATGATACACATGGGGGCGCGAGAGATGTTGATAAGTGGTTGGCATGCAATCCCTGGCCCACACCGCTGCGATGTAGACTAATGCTTGTGCGTGTCAACACAAGAAAACAGTCACAACAACATTTCCTCTGGACCGCAACCAACCATATTTTCATCGATGCCTGGGATTGTTAATAAAAGGTGGTACGTATTCGGCCCAACACGGAACTGGTTCTAGCCGCAGAACAGCAAGTAACTGTCATTCTCCGTCTCACGTGTCGGCCCACTTGGTCTCCATGGCTTCGCAACAAGCAACCCAACGTCCAACTGCCAGGCTTGCTGAGCGACATCGTCCAGCAACGTAGGTATCCGCGGCGACTCACCCTTCCCCGACTCCGTTGGCCATACGCAAAGCATGGTATCTACCTTCTGGGACTACGGGATCACCGTCTGGCCAATGAGCAGCGTCTGACCCTGCCACCCGAGAGAGTGGAACACACGTGAAAGAAATGGAACGCAGCCAGGCGCACGAGGTCTACAAGTCCAGCGACGCAGCATTATGAAAGATGGTAGATGACACATCGTTGAAAACAGGGCGGTGGTGCTGGTTACACGAAGGGCGCCGCTAAAAATAAAGTATCGTGCGTGAGTTCCGATATCCTGCAAATCTGGACATCAGAAAAAGCAACGATGATTCATCAGTCATGAGGCATGCAGCGAGGACAAGAGAAGCGAACCAATTGCTAGCTCTCTTGGCCAGGGCAGAGGGTGTGCGGCGATCGAACTAAGGAGAACTATCCGAAGGGCGGCAAAAGCCTTCCAGGGTACGGTACGGTACGAAGCCATGGCAGCCGGGACCCAGTGCACAAAAGTAGAAACGCTGGTGTACTGGTCCCAAAATTTGGCAAAAGACGCAGTCTACTATAGACTTGCGGCACTAGGCTGCATCCCACCGCCTTGTCTCGGAAATCACACACACCGGTTTCGCCCTTGGGTCGAATCAGCCGCACTCCAAGCGCGGCGCTCCGCGGATCCGGAAAACGGGCCTCCCGGCCACCACCAGCACCACCCAAATGCCCCGCTGCCGCAGGGGACATGTCCCCTCCTCCCTCCCTCTCAGGCGCCTGCCAGGGGTCTCGCACTCCCGACACCAAGACGTCGTACAGAGCCGTAGCGTCCTTTATCTTAACCTTGGACCTCAGCTTGTAAAGCTTGAGGTGGGTCTTCAGGCTATCTGCAACGGATAGCGGGCAATCCACCAGATATCCCTGAGGGGGGAGGGGGGGGGGCGTGAGGGGGTGTTACGATATTATATCAATGTAGTTTGTAATTGGTCGCCCACGGTCAGAATCGGACACAATTTGTGCAAAGCACCTTGCGTGAGGACTAAATAGGACAATTGACAAGACCAACAGACGGGCTAGGCCTGTCCTCGATAGGCGTTTCCCTCAACTCTATTTTAGGTACACTTAGCTTCTCCTCAACTCTATTGTAGGTATGTTAACGAAAATCGACAGCGAAAATATCAGGCAATCGCCTATCGAGGACAGGCCTAAGACGGGCGAGGGTAGTGACTGCCATCTAATCTAGCTTGCCGAGAAAACTGCTCTATTTCGGAGTCTCACCGGCTTCCCCTTGGCCTCATGTCGGGGGCTTATCGTCACCAACGCGTCGGCTAGCACGCGTCCCTGTGGCATTGTTGTGAGCGAAAAACACCAACGTTACCGCGGCACTAGACGAAACGAGGGAACACGTGCTTACTCCTCATTCACACACAGGATCCCTTAGGTGCCAACACATGCGCGTTACGCAGGAGCGTGCTCGAATGTACGCGTGTAGAGAGCAGGGGTGAAAATGCCGTGTATATCATCCGGGCAACAACCAACACGCCCCCCGCATCACGAAGACTCCCGCGCTCTGCGCACGGTAATTTTCTCCCACAAAATAGCTCGTGAACAGCAGCAAATTGGTACTGCTGTTACCTTGGGGTTGAGGAACGCCGCCGATATGCTCGGAAGTCCGCCGTCCCCATCCAAAAGACCCATGTCGTTGGTCATCAAACCTTGCAGCAGCGCCTTCGAATCCACCCCGCTGCGAGCGCAAATAGTCAGCCGGTAGGTCGCCAACCAAATTGCGAACGAGGGTGAGCGCTCAGTAGGGTGGCCAGAGGCAGGTTGTGGGCAGGTTGCACGGACGTTGCAATCCAAAGTGTGCAAGTTCACCCGCATCTCGGATAGTGGGGTTATTCCAACGGGCTTCAAGCCGAAAGAAGAAATGTGTTCAAGGTCGACCTCGGCCTCCCTCCCCCCCCCCTTCCCCTCAGGTTGTACCATGGTAGGTGGTGCCCAACCTGCCCCTCCTCGCCACCAGTGCTAGGGTGGGTGTGCGAGCAACAAACTGCTGTGGGGGGGCAGACGAAGTCCGTGGTGGTGGGTAAGGTCGACCTCGTGAGCGACCACCACCTTGATGGCCGCCTTCTTCCTGAAAATCGGCGATCCTACCCTTGTAGATATTTCCACCTGTTCCGCTCCCCGGAGGACTTCCACCAAGTTTGCCCTGCCCCTAAAAAGTTGATGGAAGTCCTCCGGAAAGCCGAACCGGTGGGACCGTACAACCCTTAAAAGCTTGACGCACGTCCTCCGAGAAGCCGAACCGGTCGAATGATCGACGAGTATTGGATCACCGATGTTCAGGAAGAAGGTGCCCATCAAGATGGTGGGGGCGCACGGGTTATTTGTTGCGGTTGCGGGAGCGTGGCAGTAGTCGTGGGTGGGCAGGTGTTTCAGCGGCAGTCAAGGAAGAGAATGCGCCCGGGCCTCCAAAAAAAATGTAAACATTTGCAAGCAAGCCGCTGCTGTGGTACGTGTACACCATGCATATATTTCTCGGAAAAAAGAAAGAGGGGGAGGGCTTGCTGCCCAGCAGCTGGGAAAGAGCAGGACATCGAAATAACCGGTAGTGTTCCGTCAGATTCCGGAAATTCTTTCGAAATAACCAGTTGCGTTCCGTCGGATTCCGGAAATTCGTTGTTCGGGAATGAGTGAGGAGACCTGAGAACCATACTCTATGCATCAAAGAACCAGCTGAAGAAGGATAGACAAATCTGATACGTCCAGCGACCACATATTTTCCCGCTCACTTGGTTGCATGTCATTTGCAAGACTACTTGGACACGCCCATGTGCTGCCAGCTTGTCGGGACCTCACACACCTGCTGTCGTATCTAATAGTTAACCAGGGCATCGACAAACTGCCCGCTAATCTCACCGCACCATCGCAGTGTGTTCAACTGCTGTACTGCTGTAGACGTGCAGACAATCGATGGTGATCCCATGAAGAAAGAATAAGCAGTTAGATACACAACCGTCGCCCAGCTGCAGCAACAGATTGCAACATGACTTGCACAACGTTTGCATGTACACACACACTTAAGCAACAACATCAGTCAGTCCAGTCAGTCATGGCGGTTGGATGTATTGCATCAGACCTGATCTCGAGAACTGCTCGACCCTCCAGGACCGCGGCCACGTTGGACAACGCTCGTCGACAAGGCCGATACCATCGCACTGCTGCACCCACTATCCGTGTACCTGCATGCATGACACCCCTTCTCAGGTGGCACGTGTCGCAGTGAGCTAATCGTAAAACAAACATGCAGCGCTGTGCACGGGTATTGGGGTATTGGTTCTGTAGTTACCATGGGGGGCGCGGTACCTTTGCCTTTGATTCCACGGGACCTCCGGCGCTCGCTCCACCATCTCCAACAACGACAACAAACCTGAGCACACAGCACTCTGCAGTACACCAACAAGCTGTCTGCAATCCTCTGAGCTGCGCACGCTGAGAAAACTTTGATGTGAGCTATCATACTCTCTCGCAAAGCCACTAGATACATGCCCACAACCTCCGTCACGGATGAGATCGCAGCACGCAAAGTCTCTCGTTTCGTTTTAATTTTGGCCTTTGTAGACCAGACTAGTCTAGAGTTCGTGATAAACGACAGCGATTGCCGGTGAGTGGATTTGTGCCCACGGCATTGCTTTTACCTGTAGTTCAATTCGGTACTAGTGTGTAGCTTGCATTGCAGCACCAAATCTCGTGGTAACCCACTAAAAGTTAATGTATACCTCCACCGAAGGTACTGCTGTCTACAGCAGTAGTCTTTTGTTCTGTCTGAGGTTGTAGTCTACCTGAAGAACCTATCCACGGATCGATCGCGCCGGAGTTCCACCTTGACGTGCCCGTCCTCCGCCCACAACCCACAACACGTTGTAGCGCTCAACGTGTAAATGGTCACTGAGCCAGCATGTTCACGACCAGCATGCCAGCGGAGCAATCAGGTGGCTGTGTGTCCTGCTGCCCACCTTCTATTGGTATCTATCAACGCGGCGTGTTACGCACTGGCTGCTGTGGGATACATGAGAAATGTAGGACTGGGAGATGCAGCAAAGCTGCATCCCGAGATTTCCACTACTCCATCCACTACCTGATACCTCCGTCTGCTGTTTACTCTGGAGAAAGCTATGGCAGGGGCCGTGGCGCATGTATCCAACGCCACCATCTTTTGAGGTAGAAATGTCGCACACAACTTCAGGTTCAGCGCTACGCTACCACGGATGTTGCTCTCGACGGGATATGTAACAACAATGTTAGCACGGCACGTGGATGGTGCACCACACCCTCTCGCCTCGCATGTACATACATCCACAGCAGCTGCCAAATGGCGCCTCCCTTATCCACAACGGCTGAAATTCGCGCTCTGTTCCTGTGGACTAGCGAAAGATGTATAATGTCCTTTGTCTCGAGTCGAGGCACTGCGGTATTAACGTTTGAGCCCCCTCCTCTCCCCACGTCTGTTCAATAGTCTACACGCTAAGGCATGCAAAAAAAAAAAAAAAACACGAGTACGCCCCCCCCTCCCTGCGTGCGCTCGGGTGATAGCAGATGCGGCACGCATACCATGAACAGAAGATCCACGTCCCGCTGGGCTTGGGACACCTCGCAAGAGGGAGGAGAGCCAAGCGACCACGGTGTGCCGGCAACAATTTCCACGCACAATTGCGCTGCTTCCTCGCACGCGCGTCGTCGGCGGTGGCACTCTGCTGCTGTCTGTTCGCGAAGCCGTCGGCCGGGGAGGTGCGAAGCGTGAGCAGGGTGTACCACTCGGCCTGCCTGGAGCGCGGCCAGAGCTACTGGGACTACGAGAATTTCCGGCTTAGTTCGTTGCGTTGGGAGGACGTAGACCGTTACGAGGTCAACGGGAGGCTGGGGTTCGGAAGGTTCAGCGAGGTGATGCAAGGGGTTGAGGTGGACAGCGGCCGCAAGGTGGTGCTGAAGGTACTCAAGCCGGCCAGGACGTACAAGGTTAAGCGGGAGATCCGGGTCTTGCAGGCAAGTACCCTTCATCAGTAGCACGAAATAAAAGCCTCCCCGCCTGCCCAGTCGAGGCAGTTACACAGTGCTCATACCTGTCTCTGGAAGTGAAAGCACCAGAAAATAAATTAAGTCATACGCAGCTGTCATCCGTACGCAAGGAAGTAAGCACAAGATGCCGAACACCCTTAGCAGGATGCAGCGCACCCTTCATGCGACTCGCCGAATATCTCACGGCGCTTCGCGCTTGGTGATGTGAGAGCCTGGTCCGGTGAGAACCCGGCGTGCTCCGTCCCGGCTTTGTAGGGATGCGAGGTCAGTGGTCCAACGACTACGGCATGCACGACAATGAGTAGACCCCCCCCCCCTTCATCCCGCCTGCCCATTGCCCATTGATTTCTGGCCGTGGAGCCAAACCGCTGCTGTCCTTTGCACCCTACGCATGCAAACCCCGACGGTTGCATATTCACAACGGCATGTGCGAATAGATCCTGCCCACATCGTTTGTACACCAGGGTAAAATGACGGCAGCCCCCTCCCTGTGCCCGAAAATCATCCGGCGAACCACTACACAACGGAGAGCAGCTGTTGGCAGGAGGTCCAAACGTCCTTTCGCTGGAAGGCGTGTGCCGAGACCGACACACCGGGGTCACGACCCTCATTTTAGAGCACCTCGGCGACGGCGTGCAGTGGTTCGGGCACACAACCGCGTCCAGCAGCCTTCCGGGAACAGCCGGCGGAGTCAGAACGGCGGGTTCTCCAAATGCCGTCGATGCGTCGCCGAAAGAGGTCCGACCGCCGCCGTCCCCTGGCGGGGAAGCCGGCGCAGCGGACGGAGGGGGCGCCGGGGCAACGGCCTTTTCTATTGGGCAGGGCCGCGCGCTTCCGTGGAGAGGAGCAAGCAGCAGCTTTGGCACCGCCACGAGCACGGCAACGAGCGCCGACAGGAAGGAGGGGCTTGAAGGAGGCAGGTTGCTGTCGCGGGCGGGAAGCCAACAGCAACAACCTGTCACCGCTGGCCAAGACCAAGACCCGGCCGGCGAGCATGGTGGCGGTGCAGCCCGTGCGGAGGGGTTACGCGATTCGGAAGGCGGTGGGGCGGGGCGGGGGGGAGAAGCGACGGAGAAGGAGGCCGTTGATCCCGGCCGACTGACAGACTACGAGGTGCGGCTGTACCTGTACAAGCTGCTCCAGGCGCTGGACTTTGCGCACTCGCGCGGGCTTATGCACAGGGACGTGAAGCCGCGAAACATCGTCATCAATCGACGGACCCGAAGCCTCCGCCTCATCGACTGGGGCCTGGGCGATTTTTATATCCCAGGTGAGCGGAATTTGTTCGACCATGGCGTGGGGTTGCTCGATATCATCGAAGTAAGGAACGCTTTTTTTTTACCCTCCGAAACGTTCTGCTGCACGGTTTGATGACGCAGAATTTTAGACTACATGCTTCTGTTGAGGGATTTTGGTGCTGTTACTTTACACATGGACGGACGTATCGGCACCGAGTTGAAAGGCATCCACGGCGTGACTTCAGAATCTTCCATTCAAGTGGTTGATGCCAGCCACGATCACCTGCCCAAGACCGGTGAAACTCCAAGAGCACCTCTGCACCCCCCTCCCATTGTAGCACATCGTTAAGAGCTTGCTCTCCTCATTTCTTGTTTGCTGCGTTTCGTACAGGGAGGCGTAACATGGCGCGTGTCGGGTCGCGGTACTACAAGGCACCGGAACTGCTCGTCGGGTTTCGCTTTTATGACTACGCCGTCGACATTTTTTCGTGAGTACGGGCTGCACTCGCTTGTACTTGGTAGTTGGTTCGGGGGACTGACTACCCTGTTTTACACGAATTGGACGGCCACTTCTGTCTGTTGGTCGTTTTCAGATGCTGTGGTGTTGCTCTCGCGCAGTTATTGCTAGCAGTACACTGGCACCAAGGGTTGAACACTATGTAGAGTCCTGGTACTCCTGAGTCTAAGTGCTGTCCTTCCGGAGCATGGGTTAATGTACCTCGTGGAATGATGATTTGTATACGAGCAGCAGCGCAGCCACTGGAAAACAAATTTCTTGCGCACAAGTCGTGGCAGGGATGCCCGCGGCAAGACTGGAGAAGGGATTCATCGCGTACGTATGTCGCCTCGATTTTGTTTTCAGAGAAGTGCTCGCTATGCTATGTAACAGCGGGTAGAGCGCTCGACCATGTAATTTCTGAGGCAGCATTAGCTTGCGATTTAGTCATGCACCCATCTGTTGACATGTTGTGCTGTGGCAGGGTGGGCTGCATGCTTGCAGGGTTTCTGTTGAACAGGGAACCATTTTTTCGGGGGAAGGACAACGAAGATCAGCTTGTGCGAATAGCGCTCGTGCTGGGCACGCAAGGACTTCACGATTTCCTTCGAAAGTATGGTGAGAAGCGCAGAAGGGTAGTGCTTGGTTTGCCCTCCGCGTTGTTTTTGATGGTAGCTTTCGGGCACAGTCCAATACGAACCATCGCCAAGCGTTGGGTAGGCCTCCCAGCATGTTGGATTCCACGGGGTGTTGGCGCACGAGGGACAGCGAAAGTCGAGAATGAGCAACCGGAAATCGCATCTCTCCGTGGACCAGGCAACTGACACCGTCTCACAACAGTAGCGCATGCCGCGGGAACACGGACGGTGTGTACGTACATGCAGCTTGGAGCTTTTGCCGCATGGTAGGTCAATGGACAGACACGCTGAGCCTGCGAAGCACCCCACAACAGCGTCCGCGAACCGTCCCGAGCAACCTGCCTGCACGACTTCGCTTTTATTTAACCACACAATGCTCCGCCGCGCGTCGTCAGATGTTGTCCTGGAGCCGCGACTGTTGGAAATGCTGGGCACGCACCGCAAGAAGCCATGGAGCAGTATCGTTGGAGGAGGAGGGGGGGAGTGTGGCGAGGCGTACGGCCCGGATGGGCTCGATTTGCTCGACCGCATGCTCTGCTACGACCACCAGGATCGAATTTCTGCAGCGGAAGCCTTGTCGCACGCGTTTTTCGACCCTGTGCGCGGAGAGGCGGAAGCCTCCGTGAGAAGGCATTCCACGTGACCTTAAGCTCTATGGTATGGTACCGCATGGGTTTGATTTCCCGGAAAGCAATTCCTTGAGAATTGTTATTTGTGGCATCTTGGAACTGTGCTGTATGGTATTGTTTGAAGCGTGTCATTTGCGAAGGTGATAGCTCCCGTGCGATTTGTGTCCGGTGGTGTGTACTCGGGGCGAGCGGCGACAGCAGGTACTGGGGGCGTTGCATCCCGTTTCGGCATCGTGACGTACCGTGATGCTGTCGGCGGCGCTACCATTGTATACGCTGTTTACTTCGGACAGCCTGAGACACGTAATATCCAATGTGATGTATGTTTACGAAAGTACCTTGTGGCGGCGGTTACATTTTTCTTCTTTCGAGAGGAGAGGCCTCCCCCCCCCCCAGCCCCCCGTTTTTGTGCACTAAGCCTGTTGAGATGGTAATTTCNATTTTTCTTCTTTCGGGAGGAGAGGCCCCCCCCCCCCCCAGCCCCCCGTTTTTGTGCACTAAGCCTGTTGAGATGGTAATTTCGGATCCATGTCAGGGCCAACACGGCAACACGGAAGTATGCTCCGTTCTCGGCGTGACTTCAGCGTCAAGCGCAGTTGTGAGTTTCTCTTATTGTCTACCGTGCGAGTAGTGAGAATAGGCCAATGGCTATTGTATACCGCATGTCCACATGTCCGTGGTGCTTCAGCCGCTGTATTTCTCCACCGGCACTGTTCGTGTAGTTGCAGACTTGGGTTTAACACGCAGGTTTGCACCGAGATTTGACTGCCAGAAGAGGCCCGATACCCAATTTAATCATACCACAGCGGGGTCTTCTGTTTTGCTTTCAACCTCTCCTTCTGACTCGAGACCTTCATGTCAGAGGATGTGCACATTTACGATAATGGCCGAAGATGCAACAACCTTCCACCGGGTTTCTATGGAGCATGTCTCCGAGAGCCGTACCACACATGAAGTTCACCGCCTCAATTTTCGGCTTCTGACTCAACACGTTGGCCATTCCCAAAGTCCTCCCGTGGTTGTTGGTGGTGGTGCTCCTGATGACCACCTCCATCGTGTCGTAGAATCGTGCCGTCTTCTCCGTGGGCGTTCTCGAAAACAGCGTTCGGTGTTGCTTGCGATTGGTTGGCCAACATATCGTCCATTTGGTTGTCTGAAGCGGGTGCCGGGTAGAACTGCTGCTCGTGGTGTTGCTGAATTGGCGGCAACGGGACTGGAGCATAAATGTGTCCTCCTTTGCGCCTAGAGTGACACAGAACGTGCGAAGGAAGGATGTGCGGCACTTTAGAAGAGCGATCGATGTTGTTCTTTGCGTTGCATCGCGTCCTATTGTTCGCACGGGCTCGAAGTGCAAGGACGGGACTGCTGGATGTAGCCTGAAAAAAGGGGGACTTCAAGGGCGTGTTCAGTTGCCGAGATGCTTAAGACTACACATGTAGTAGTCGTCATCCTTTCGGACGAAAGCCCGCACCTGAGTAGATTGATCTCGGCTTTGATCGCGTCGAGTTCCCTGCCTTGGAGCTTGACGAGGGCCGCCAGCCGATCCCTCTCCTCTTTTTCCTTGCGGAGCGTCGGCCCTCGTGATCCGAGGGCAGCACCTCCCCCGCTCGTGTTTAGCTCCTGAGAGGGCAGGCAAGCAGGGACGTACAAGTTAGCGTGACAACATGGTGGTCATGTTTGTTCGACTGGTCAGCGACACCATCGCAGGCAGGCCTGGGAACTCGGTTACCCCCAACGAGTCAGCACCTGTCGCAGCCTTTGCCTTCAAACGCACATCAAGCGATTTCCTTGTACGGCATGTCGGCCGCCAGCATCTTCCACCAGTATTCTAGTTGATGTCACGCCAAAGTGTATTTGTTTGGGTTTGCAGGCATGCTAAGCGACGCCACTGAGGTATTCCATCTCCAAGGCACACGCGTATGTAGTAACGAGGCGCTGGCTGTACTCACAATACGTGTCATTCCTCTCAAGGGATCGCCCCGTTCCCTCCCCCTTCTTACAACATCCGAGGCAAGGTCGCAACAGCCCGAACACCAGGCGGCATCTTACCTTCTCGAGGGTGAATTGTTTCGAGCTGAGATCTGCCACGTCCCTGAGCAGCTTCGTGTTTTCGTAGGTGCCTTCTAAGAGGCGACCCCTGAGTTCACGATTTCTCTCTTCCAGTCGCGCTAGCTCCATGGCGTGTTGGTCTTCAATGGCTTCTACCCGTCGCCGCGCCTCTTCCTGGCTCATGCCAGAGCTCACCTTGTCAAGACATGGCCAAGGTTTCGAAGCATTGAGAGTGGAGGGGAGCACTTGGGTATCTACCGGTGTTCGTTGTGACTCGGTCCAGAGCCATCTCTGGTCTACGTTTAGAACGTCCCGACGGTTGAAAAAATAAACTGATCCGAAGTGGCCAGAGTATGCTGTCCTATCTGTCATTTTCACATCCTCCGACACGAGTGCACTGGCGGGTATTGGTCGAGGGACTGACTAACAGGAGACACGGCCGGGGCGAAAAAACGAGGCAAATATCCCAGAGCTCGAGAACCGTGAGTCATGAGACTCCTTTGGAAAGCGTTGATGGTCGATGCCAAACCACCAGAAGGGGTAAACGACACAGTACAGAACCGTCTCGTCGATCACGGTGGTGGTAGAATCAACATGACGCCATTAGCTTCCCCTCGTCCGCACCAGCAAAACCCACACATACTGATGCCCATGTATTCGCATTCCCCCTTGACGGCAGAAATTCTCCTCAACGGGTTCAGCATCTCATGGGAAATGTTATTCTTGCTTTCTCACTGAGCCCTACCGGAAAATGGAGCGTTTAACAGAATGAGCACTTTGTTTGGTTGTTTCAGAATGCGGCGAGAAGCAGGAGCGCGTTTCGAGAGTACACACCTTGTCCACCATCTCGAGGTCGATGAGCTGCCCGAACTTGAGCACCTGGATCTCGTTGCACCTAGCCTGATGCTCCTCCATCTCCGCCTCCTTCACCACTCTCGCTTTCTCTAGCCGCCCTCGGTCGCGGTGCAACTCCTGGAATCCCAGCAGCAGTTGTGGAGTGTAGTGAAAACAATATCGAGGGACGGGGAATGGGCAGAGGCAATATTGTAACGAAAGCAACGCCGCGGAGGCATCTGGTCAAACTCATATTAGAGAATATGTTCATGTCTTGAATCGATAAGCAGACATGGCACCTCCGACCGGTGGTAGATCACGGCACTTCCGATTTGTTACCGCGACCTACCGAAGGTACTCACAACGTTTCAAGGACGACCAACCCTATATCTAGATATTACTTGGAGGTACAAGGAGCCGGGAAGAGCGCGGGGGGGTAGAGTTTAATGGACTCAAGAGAATGGACAGTGGGGTGGGTGATTCTCCTGTTGGTCGTCTTCCGCTATGAAAATCCTACGGTTCTCCTTTCTACCGTTCTTGAGTCCATGTTGGATACACGCCGTCGAACGGCAATGGAGAAAACCGGACTAACTGATAGATAAATTATTGTCGAACCTTAAAGTTGTTCCTCTCCGCTTTGTTTTCTTGAACTAGTTCTGATATGCGCCGCTTTAGCCTGTCCAAGCCCATCCTCGTGAAGAGGATGTGCGAGTCCATTCCCACGTCGGCCACAAGCTTCGGGCGAGACACGCTGCCTCTTCGCCTGAGTGAGCGTCCCACGAGTCGGGGAGGCACGATATCGGTGCATCAGGCTGCTCATCTATCTTTCCTTGAGACCATGCCCATGTCACCAAATCATCTGACCAATCGCCACGAGTTGTGTATAGACCAGGCCGACAGCGGCTTCCCATGAGCACTTCCACGTGTGAAGACCAGCACCGTTGCGACGATAGCAAGCTGGGAAACAATTTGAGCGGACCGAACCTGGGTTTGTCACCGTCCTCCCCACCCTCCGCCTGTTCCTCGATCGCGTTATCCATGCAGTACAGTTGATTCAACTTGAGAGAGACAACCACGTCTAGCTTATTGAGTTCCGCCTGTTGGAACCGACGAAAACATTGCAAGCGCGAAAGGGTGGGGAGTGCTGGAGAAGCTGAACACGCTCAAAAATGGGTGAAAATGGCGGTCAGGGCGAAAAAGAACGAAACGATTTCCTGATCCGGCTGTTCCCTAGTTCTTCATCGACAGCTTAGGTTCTGGAGCCGTCCCGTCGGAACTTTCGCGAGGAACTAGTGCAGGGCGGCTATGTAACCAGCTGCAGGTTGGTACTGACAAATAGTTGGTGTAGTGCCCGAGGTAACTGCTTATGCCATTCTCATGTAGAAGGACCGTCGTTTAGCCAACCTAACCTCAACCTTAACCCTTTACCCTAGCCCGCCTTCCAATGTTGGTGTTGACTGTGTGTCGGGGGTCGGAAGGAAGCCTTGGGGAGGAAACGGCCAGCATGCCAAGCATTGCACCAGGCCATGCCCTCCGCGGCGTGGTCAAGGACGACACTTGGAAGTTAATCTCAGTGGATCCTGAAAATAGACACCCCTAGGTTGGAAGCAAGGCGTAGCCGGATCCTTCCCTGTACAGAATTCAGAGCGGTGCCACTTCCATCGATTCGAGTATGCTCCATGCGCGCGTGCCCGGTTCTACACTAGGGTGAGTGGGGTAGCACCTGCTTGTCGGCCTGTGCTGCCTTGATCTCCAGGGCTGTCTGCTTCAGATCCTTGTCGATCTGCCTCTGCCTTGTTTCCTGGATGGATGGTTGGAGGGTGACGACGCCCGATTGGCTTGAAAGCGTTCCGAGAGGGGCGGAGAGCATTGACTGGCTGCAGGCGTGTGTTTGTATTCTACTTGTGCATAATATGCAAGGGTGATGGAGCTAAAACCTACCGTCAGGTATTGCCTGGACTAGACGAAGGTTTAGGTCGCGGTGCTCGAAGCTCGAAGCTAGCCAACCCGTCCATTGTGTTCAATTTCTGTCGCATACTCAATGTTCCTCACGTTATGGAAGTCTATGAATGTCCGTTCAGAACGAAGGTCGAGTGATTGGTGCGTCTACGGACCTCTTGCGCAAGATCTCTGGCTGATCTTATGTGAGCATTCGTTCATTCTTCCAGAACGATAGTCGTGTCTCCGGGATAAATTACTTCGTCCTCGAAAGCACGTACAACGTGAAGGGTCACGCACGGAGTCAAGGAACGAAATATGCTTCAACTACGAGCTTACCTGGCGGTCGAGGTTTCGCTTGTGCTCGTCGGTCGCCTTCTGCAGCTCAGCCAAGTTTTCTTCATGATCCAGACGACTTTCCCGTAGCTCTAGCACCTGGTAACCATTAAGGCAAGACAAGGTTCAAATTGCCGAAGTAAAACATTGCGTGGCCTTTTCTTTTCCAAGCACGCCTGTCAGGCAGCATGTGCGAAAATTGTCGTCTGCGTTAGGGTACATTTTTCTACGTACATTTAATGTAAACGATATCACTCCACTTCCGCATTGCCATAACTACAAGGCGACAGTGTTTTCATGGACCGATCAGCGGTTACCCCAAGTATCGCGCAGCATGCGTACGTATTCGTACATTCGCAGAACAAGTGACACCCGTGTGTCCCACCGCTAGAGTCGGCTGTGAAGCTATCACACTCTTTTCGTGCAGGGTTCACCAAACGTGTCACAAGGTGTCCAATCTTTCGGTACCCCGGGCGATTGATGAGCCAATGAGGTGTTTTTCCAAGCTCTACTGTAGGTGGAATATCTACCTTCTCGTAGAGGGCCATGTCGCAGCCGGGAGGGCAGCTGTCGTCCACCTCTTCCTCATCGTCGTCGTCGAAGTCGTCGTAGTCGTCCTCGTCGGAATCTTCTTCGTCGCTCTCGTCGTCGCCGTCGTCGTTTTCCCCAGCCAGCCGTTTCTGCAGCAGGGGAGGGTGAGGGTTCCTTTGTTGGTTTCCTCTGTCGTTTGCACCGTTGACCATTCATTCCAGGAGAACTGAAGGACAGAAGTGCTCGTGTGCCGAGCGGATGATCAGACTTCTTGTGTCTCCATCGTTGACCCCGATTTATTCCTGCTCCGTAGGGGGGATGGAAGGCATGCGTGTACTACGTAGCTACTTCTTCGTTGCCTCTGAATTGTTTCCGTCACCCGTGACAACGGCGTGACGTATGAGGGGGACGTCAATATCTTTGGCGACCTTCACTGGCCATAGTGCCCCAAAATACCCTCGCATGTTACATACCACACACCTTGGTCCGTTTGATCTTCTTTCGGAATATCTTGTTGAGAACCTCGTGAAACTGACTCGTCTCGGGCACCAGGTCCAAAAAGTCCGACAACACCCCAGCCTCCAGCCCAGCGCCCGCCTGAAGCAAAGAGGAAAAGGTTTCGGGTTCAGCTGCCAAGTCCGCAAGTAATACACGTTGTCAACGTCCGGGTTCTACAGTGAATATGCCACACTCTTGCGGATCTAGTAGCTGGGTCATGGACAGGGGGGCAGGGG